CAATAGGAGAAACTGGGGATCCCATGGCACTCCCATGTTTCTGCCTATAATATTGCCCCCCGTACGTGAAGTAGGTTCATTAGAGAAGAACCCGTCCAGAAGAATACAGTTCTTTTCTTTTTGATTTTTACCTGGATTACTGAGATGCATCAGGACATAAATGCATAATACTTTTTACTGAACAAATTTTGACTTGAAATGTTGTTTGCATATTTTGCATACGTCTCTAATCAACACATTAAAACACTGTCTGACTTATTTTAACTTCGTTTTTGCAAAGTTTTTAATCATTTTAAAAATGTTCTCCGTAGTGAACATTTGTAGTCATTTCCTTCATTTTATTCTGTTTTTTTTAAGGACAAGAAAGTGGGTCATTCTCAGAAACAAACAATTTTACTTCAAATTGTTGATGAAAACTCAGATACTGATGTACGATCAGTGTTAATAGGTTGTCTGAGTCTGTCTAGAACAAGAAAATTATGCCATGATGAGCAAACGGTTCCATTTACTGGTCAATACCCGGTGTGCCATGTACCGGGCAAACCATACCCAACTGGATTGAAGGTGTTTGTCTATTTTGCACCAACTCATCTGGTCTCAGACTTTGTGTTCTACCAAGGCAAGACTAGCTTCAGAGTTACAGGAGGGTTAGGGCTACTTCCAGGATGGTAAATAAAACACAGGTAAAGGTGTCACAGATCTGGCTGCAGGGGTAAAACACATGTTATGTACACAGTGTTATGTATTCATGTTTGAATAAAAGAAATTACTTTTAAAGCATCTTACAAAATAAGCACAACAAAGCAAAAAAAATTAAATCAAAAAATGAAATAAAAAGTGATGATTGACTGTTTTGCTAAACACATTCTTATTTTGATTTTTTTTTTTTTTGGTGTTTTATTTATGATTAATTGATTGCCATGAAGGTTCAGTTTCACGTGCATGGCGTTCTGGCACAGTAGTGGACATATCCCAAAAATAAAAACATATTTTAAAAATCACTTTTCTAATAACCTTACAAAGATTGTGGAGTTTTATATATTTTTTCCTGGTAGTCAGGAGGATAAGATTAAAAAATATTGTGTTGGACATCAATAATAATTCAATCGGTGCAGGACTAGCGAATGAGCAGCATGACCTATTATTTTGTCATTTTGACAGTGTTGCTATGCGACATATGGTCCCGTGCAACAAGGCGTGACCTGCGCGCGACGTCAGTCCTCGCGAACACAGCTTGTTTTGGAGGAAGTGAGGGCTAGTTCAGTCCGTAGCTAGCAGGTTAGCTTGTCAGGAAAAGTGAGTACCAACGAGAAACTGACGGTTATACAGAATAATTTTACGTCGACAGTGTTATTTTCGACAGGCAGGTTTAGTGGAAAGACTAGCTGACAGACAGCTAATCCGCTGTGGGCTTTTGTAGGGTGTAGTTTTGTTCCGGGCAGACATTTGTTGGAGCTGTTTGTTAGCCTGTCACTCAGCCCTGCGCCTTTAGCTCGGCACTTCCATTAGACGAAGAGGAAAAATCCACCTTTGATTTCTTCCCTTTTTTTTATTATTTGGAGGCGCACCACACAGGTTTGTGAAGACTCAAACTGCGTTTTACTTCAACATAAACATATGGCAACAATATTGCTCTCTCTCGTGTGTCGTTACATAATTTTCACATGCCTTCTCAGCTAACGAAATGTATCTTAGTAAAAAATTGTTATCAAATTTATTTTGTGAGTAAAACGTATTTTTAATGAATAGTATGAATACGAGCTGTATTTTTAGTTGTTTTGTGTATCTAGATAGGTAACATATTAATGTTTACTCTGTTTTGCTAACCCTGGTATCTGGTGTAAATGCGCACATACTGTTCTGTATTAACAGATGATCAGGAGGAAACATTAACATTCTCACAGGTTGGTGAATTTACCGGCAGYTTTCTGTTTCCCTGTTCAGGCACTTGGTGTGCTGATCATGCCTGCCAAGTCATGGTTCCGTTAGCCATGTGATCAGTCCCTGACACGCTGTCATGGGATACAGATTAGGAGAGCCGCACACACACACACAGCTCTGTGTTGGTTCTGCCTCAGGCCGTAATTTCTTGAAAAGACTTTKTGAAGTTTCGACCCTTACTTAGTTCTGAATCTGTACACCCGTTCGCTGTCTCCTCGCCTGGTTGCAATAATAATTGTATCCCCATTGGTGTTGGAGTTTGAACTTTGTCCATTACAGCTTTATGATGAGTTTATTATTGCGTAACACGCCAAGTTAGAACTGCTTTGTGATGACTTTTTGAGCTGGAACAAATACGTAAATTACAGCTCCCAAGATTTAAAGCAGTGGTTCCCAAACTTTTTGTCTTCTGACCCACAAAATATCCAGGGCAAAAACTTGTGACCCCAAATATTAC